ATTGGACTATTGATTCATGTCATGAACTGACCTTGGCCTGTCCCTCACTGAGCAGCACCTGGGCTTGGAACGTACAGTAGCATTCCCTGTGTCCCTCTGGGTGGGGGGGCAGGGGGGAGTTAATGGAGGTCCGCTGTGGCAGGATGTTGACCCCCAATGTCCTCATCCGTCTGATGGACAGCGTGTCTCCTGCAGGTGTTTCATCAGCCATAAAGCCGTACCTGTGTGCGTCATGTTTTGCCGTCTGTTTCATCGTTACGGTATCGGCGCCCTCCGTCTGTTTCATCGTTACGGTATCGGCCCCGTGTGGGGAAAACCTGTTGAAGCTCCTGGTTCACCGGTGTAAGGAGCAGCTTTCATGAGCGCCTCGGGGGCTCCTGCCGCACTTCTTATTGAACACATGGCCCCGTGTGTTTGCTGAGGGAGACCTCGCGGTCTGCCCATCCTGGCTGGTTTCCTCCCCATGCCCCTGCGAACCCCCAGACACATACCACCAACTGCACCTTCATTCTGTTTTTGTCTCCATCTCCTCTCCCCACACCCTTACAGTCCCTTAAATTCTTCACTCCCAATCTCCCCGTCTGCCTTCACCCTGGTCTGGAATGTTTTTGCACAGAGGGGAAAATAAACCGCCATAAACCGCCGCTGCGGCCCTCAAACCTCCTCACATCTCCGTTTGGAGGCTGTTTTTAGACCATTAAGGGATGAACGCTGACAGGCGGCCGTAACGTTGCAAATGTTTACCTGCACATCCAGTGTCGTACATCCCTGGGGTGTTGACGTTTCTCTGGCAGGGTTTGAAGAATGGAGCCTTTGTGAGTGAGGGCTTCAGCACCTCCGCAGCTGCTCAGCTAGTCTTTCACCCAGATGCCTCATTATATCCCAGCACGTGGGGAACAGGTCATACCTGGGTCCCCCCAAAAAAAAAACAGAAGAACCATCATCAGCCTTTAACCCTTAATTATCAGGAAACGGGATTTTAGATCTTTTCAATCTCTGTCTTTCTCGACTCGTGTGCATCAGGCCGCTCAGGAAACATTTGTGTGTCGTACAACCATGTAACAAACACGCAGCTTCGTCATCACCTACAACACACTCCTGAAATGTTGGGTCACGGGCAAAGCTCAACGTTGTGACCGACCTTTGCATGAGTGACCTGGTGGAATGTTCCCTTCATTAGCAGGTTAATTAGTAAACGCCAGTCAGACTGGCCGTTAAAGGAGCAGCAGCCTTTGTCCAGACTTTACATAAAACCTGCTGACGAAGCGTCCTTCTGCTCCCACGTGGTTCTGTCATACTAATGCTGACTGTCGGTTCTAAACTTATTTCCACGGCAACCTTTAGGTTGAGCTGAAGAGTATTTTTGACAGCTGCACCACTCCCTGTGGTTGACTCTGGATCCGTTCTCCTGCCTGTTGTGCCTCCACTTCTCACAGTGTAACATATATATATAAATGTACAGCATCAGTGGAAATAAAGCTGGGCTCAAAGGCGTCCATGCTGCGTTGTCCAGCAGGGGACGTCTTCTTTGACAGGTTTTCATCGTCTCACTATTGTCCCAAATATAGTAGCAGTGTAAACAAAGCTTCTGTCTAACAAAAAACAACAAAGGGAGGTGCTTAAAATAATGCCGCACTTCAACTCTTCACTCACCAACAACAGTAATTCAGTCTTAATTATAACAAAAGTGACGACGTAGTTCTAGCAACATTAAAGATTTGCTAACGCTGCTTTTTACGTCTGCCTACTCCTGCTGTTGTCGCCAATAACAGGAGGATTTGTGGTTTCCAAAGTGAGGGGCACGCCCCCTTCAAGGGGTGCAGGTCAAATGAATTCAATCAATTTTGACATTTTCTTTTGAAATTGAAAAAAGTGCAGCCTTACTTTTACTTTGACTTTTTTAACTATACCCTCCCAAAGTTATTTAGTAGCTCAGTTAAAATGTCCTTCCTGATCTTAACTATAAATATATCTTAGATTTACTATTTTTTTGCTTTATTTTTGGTTAATTTTGGAGCTAGGTTTTGTCCATCTTTGAATACTTTGCGTTACTGTTGCTAATATTTTTACCTTTTTTTGTGTTGACTGTTCCTGTGTGAACGTCGCGTCCTTTCCTGCCGCAGACTGAATCAGTTATGCGGGAAAAACTAGTTTCAAAGACATTTATACGTCCACTAAACAAATGTGAGTCATTGATCGCCATGACAACAGAGTGTAGTCTCACCATTGTGGTGGTGTTATCAGCTCTGAGGCTAAAGTGTCAGCAGACGAACATCAGGTTTATTGTCCCAGCTGGAAACATCTGCCTCCGGAGGACAATGCTGATGACTGTGGTGATAGTGAAACAAAGAGTCAGCGAAGAACCACAGTGGGCCATAAAACCAGACCAGGGACACACACACACACACGGGGCCTTCAGACTGCACAAATAGCACCCCCTACAGGGGAATGAAGGTCTGCCATGCTCTTTGTTGCAGTCAAATTTCAAAGCAACTAATAATTAATGGCCTCGACTGTTTGACCCATTTGACATCATATGTTTATTCTGATTGTTTTAAATCAGAATTCAAATTGGGTGCCTTAAAAAAAAACCTCCTTAAATACATTAACTTTAGCATCACATCCTGCAGGGTGATGTTATATAAGAGAGCACGGGGCGATGAGCCGCCTCTGCAGCTGCAGGGCTTCTCTCTGAACACTGAGAGCTGTCAAACCCAGGTCGACGCTGGTCCGGGGGTCCTCCGTAGAGCCATCCGAGGGCACAGAATGTCCCGTCGACCTGGGCCGGCCTGGGTCAGTTTACCAGTAACAGTGTGCTACAGAGTCATGGCCCATCAGATAAGAAGGTTCAGGACATTCCTGAGTGAGTGAGTGAGTGAGGGGCTGAGCGGGGGGATTCCTGCGGAGAGCTGGATAAACGTCTCCCCCTGGAATGCTGGGATTTCATTGATCCGTTGTAGGATCAGCGTAGACCTGCGGAGTCTGGTCTGAACCTTTAGCCCAGGATAATATTGTGAGAGATTAATTGTTCTGTATTGTCTGTGTTGTGACACATCTAAGAGTTGTTTTTTTTTTTTTTTTTTTTTTTTTTATTCATTTTTTTTATAAAAATCACCTGGACTTGTTTCACTGCATTTAAGACTTTTGGTCATTTGATCGGCAACAACCAAAGAATGGTGGACTTTATTGGTGCCGTATTTGATAACAATAAATGAATTATTTTTATTTATGTTTATTTTAACAACTATTCTTTTCGGGTTAAAACCAAACATTAGCCTGGACCAAAAATAACACAAACAACATAACACACGTTTCATTATTTAATCGTTACGATGTCGTTCGTCCTTGAATTCATTCATTCAAGGTTAAGCTTTGAGCGGTACAATTTTATGCCAATATTTAAAACAATGTTCCAGGAACAACAAGAAGACAGACTGAAGTGTCAAACCCTGCGTCCGCTGTCGTTCATACTGTTCTGACACTTTTCTCTTCGCAGATTTACTGTAGATAGCACCTTTTTGGACAGCGCTCCAGCGTTCCTGCTCACGTCTGAATTAGGAATAATAGTGGAACCTACGAGCAAATCAATCAAACCCAGAGCCCGTCGGCAGCTCCACAAACCACCCCAGTTTTCATATTTTAAGACAGCAGCTGCTTGAAATCCTTCAATCCTTCACTCAGGACCTGATGAAAAACCCGCTCAGGTGCCGTGTTTTTTTTGGGTTTTTTCGTGCAGAGGGATTGGATACCTGGTTAAGACAGAGGGTTTTGTGCAGCAAGAGTTTAAGTCCAAGTCAGTAAAGCAATGATGTTAATACAGATGTTGGTGCTATTTCTAGAAAACCTCAGACTAACCTGAAACAACATGTTACTTTTTGGTGAAACACTCTGTACATGGTTTATAAATGTAGCCTGGAAGAGAATATTTAATATAAGGGTTGCAACCTGATGTGGGGTCACTTGGAATTTAAATGGGATCGAGCACAGTGAGCACCCACCAGCAGAAACAGAAATCTGCGCCGCCTTACTGTGATTAAAATACGACAGACAACAACAGAGCTGTGCATCAGAACATCAGCCCTCCGTGGTACCACATGTGGAAACCCAGGACCTGACTTCTGTGTGTGAAAGGTCAAAGTGTGTGTGACCTGTTGTCAAACAGAGGCAGCTGCTGGCATCGAAACCTGGGTCAGATATAATCTGACTGTTCACACCACAGGGTTGTCACTGAAGAGAACAGCACTGACGATAAACCTGAACAACGTGACATTTGTTTGATATTAATTTTGGAATCCAATTTTGGTTGGTCAGATTCAGCCCACGGGATGGTCACTGATCTGGATGTTACTCTGAGCTTTAGCTGCTGTGGTAGATGTATGTACATATATATGTGTGTATATACACACCACTTCTGAAGGTCCTGCTTCAGTGTGAAAAACATTTGAATCTCTGCAGTAAATTATACCTGAGTTGAAATCAAAGGCCTGTTTTTATTTCCTTCCAGTTTTTGCAGCAGACGATCACATGGCATCAACCCAGTTCCTAAAAACCCTCTTCCTGTGCCGTGTATGAACAGCATATGAATTAGAGACTGTACCTGTGACTCCGTCACTGCAGCACACAGTAGACGCTGTATCTGTGTTGTGTTTACTAACTGGGCCGGGGCCAGGCCCGGGGTACCGTGCACTCACACTGAGACCCCAACACAACCGCAGACTCTGCCTTCAGAATCTGCTCACAGCTGGGTGGAGTTTGGATCAGCAGGTCTGTACCAGGGCCGGGGTCGAAGGACCACCGGAATGAAAGGTGCAGTGTGTGTGTGAGGCGGAGGCAACGCAACACTGATGTCCTGCATCAGGTGCACAAACACTCCGACCCATGTGTGTCACATGTCTTTGAGCTTTTCCACCAAATATGGATTTGATCCTAAACTCCTCTCCATTTGTGTCTGGTTTAGGGGGCGTGGCCTGCGGTTGAGCTTGAGCTTTTGTCTGGTTTAGGGGGCGTGGCCTGCGGGCTGGACCATGTGTCCCGGCGGATGCTGTGTGAGAGCCAGCTCACGCTCTGGATGTGTCGCCAACCTATTTCAGGTCCAAACTCACACACACACAAATTCACACCTATGCACTCACTTCACGGCCTCAGACCGACCAAACCTCAGGCTGCAGGGCCGAGCTGAGAAACAAGACTTCACACACACCTCTCCTCAGCACTTTGGACCGATGCTAACTGCAGACTTCCACGTCGGTGCCGTAGCTGTTGCTCGATGAAAAGCTCCAATCAAATCATCTGCAAATATTTGTGTGATTATTAGCAGAAACTGAAGTGAGCATGAAATGATGGCAGAGCCCTGAATGACTCCACTCACAGACACACTCGCTTCATTCACTCCCCGAACGACACTCTGCAAATGTTTGGCTCTGGAATGACCCTCTGCCCCCCCCCCGACCCCCCCCACCCCTCAGCGGCCGGTCCCACAGCTGGACCCTGCAGGATCAGTCGGACAGAGAAACGACACCACAGGAAGGACCAGGTTTGTTGGGTGCTCATGGTACTGGACTAGATATGTGGTCAGACAAGAGAAGAAAAGGGCCGGTTGTGATGAGGCAGCAGTGTGACCCACTCAGCCACTGCGTGACTGGTTGTTGTCAGTCAGACTCCCAGACAGAGGGCGCTGAAGAGAGAAGCACAGACGAGGTCGACCGACAACTGCAGAAAGTTGTGTAAAAACTGCGTCCATTCCGTGATCATCAGCTACAAAGAGTTAGTGGTTACTCTACCAGGTGCAGCCGGTCAGTCCTCCTCCTCCTCCTCCTCCTCCTCCTCCTCCTCTTCATCGTTGAACAGCCTGTCAGGAGCCAAAGTCCCAAAAACCACAGCCTCATTAGTCGTTACATAACAGAAACCATTTTCTCCTCTGCTCCTCTGCTGATGGATGTGCCCGGAACACCACGTCCTCAGGATGGAGCACCCGGTGGTGAAGAGACTCCACTGCAACCTGGTGGAACTGACTTTTGACACACACCCACACGGTCACACCGAGTCCCAGGAGGTTACAGTTTCTTTAAAGACAGGAAATAATTATCCAGCAGTCAGTTAGGAACCTGCCGCTGAGGTGTGTCCTCTTTCAGTGCAGGGAGAAGGAGCTGCAGATCAAATCTGAGTCTGCTGCATAAAATATAAAAAAAAAGAGGATGCAGAGAGTTCACTCGGTTTTTAACATCTGCAAATGTAGCTCCAAAGTTCGTTGGTTGAAACCAGGCACGGTCCAGAGAACGTTCTCCAAAGACCAGACCATCCAGCGCGATTCTGTCTGTTTTCTACAGATTTTAAAAACATTTTCTTCAGCTGTTTTAATAAAGACACCGCCAGCGGAGAAATGTAGAGAAAGTCAGCGTCTCACAATGGACACTTGTGGCGACTCCAAGATCATCAGACTGCACTGACGTCTGTTCTTCACCACTAAAGAAGTCGTCACTTTCTTTCTCTTAAAGCTCTCATTGTTAATTCATGGAGACGAATGTGATTCAATAACAGCAGGAGTTATGACAGAGTGAGGAGCTTCACTCACCACCACATGTTTGTAGACTGTGGCTCAGAAGGAGAGTGAGGATCTGGATCCAGACTCGGACTGGATCCAGGTCTTAAACCCGTCCCTTCTTCTTCTTCTGTTTTCCCGTTCCCTTATATCCATCCTCACATTTGGACACGAAAGCAAATATGTGGCATCATCATCATTACTGAGAGCTAAAGTCTACGTTGTATCAAAACTCCACTTACAAAAATGTCCATCTCTTTTGTTGCAGTTCAACTTCAACCACACGAGGCAGTAAAAACCCCACCAGGTTCAATCCGTCGCTAACACCTGGTTTGTATGTTTCCCTCGATCTATGGCACAGACATAAACAGCTGCTTCCTCTGAACACTGACCTGACTGGGTGACAGCATGATTGAAGTCAAACCGATTACTTTTATTGGTTTTGGAAAAATATTTCCAAAACCCTTTCCTGTTTTGGAACACCTTGGCAGAGAGAGAGAGAGAGAGGATAAAGCCAAACTCTACCTATTCCTTCCATCTGGGAAAAGAAATTCCAAATTGGATCATTGGGAATTCAATATTAATAATTTACGCAGACCCTCACCTTCAGTTTTTATATCCAGAACCTGAGGAGCCAAATGATGCAAGATGACCAGCGGAGGCCGGAGACAGGCGAGTCTGGAGCGACGGGATGACATCATCACACCTGCAGCGGTCAGTGATGCTGCGGCTATTTTTACATGTTATTTATAATCCATCAACCAGGAGTTTGGCTGTTCCCAGATCAGTCATTAAACCTGATCAGTGCTGGAAACCATCAGATGGATGTAGCAGTCACTCACCTGTAGGTGAAGAAGTCTCTTAAAAAATAGCTTTTACTTTGAGATAGGTCTAGAAATGGAAGACAATTCCAGTGAGACGTGTCGTAGAAACTGCCTTTTAATTTAGACGTTTGTTTTTTCACGTAATTAATCATTGATTGGACCTTGTACCAGTTTTTTTTTTGCTCAGTGCTGCTCTAAGATTGCACCCCTTGTTCTTACTAGAACATGGGACTAATTTTAAAATATCTGGTTCCACTTTGATAAAAGAAAAATCATTCTTCCCTGAGATCCTGGTGTAGGCCATCCTCAGCCTACAGATCTGTCTCAGCTGCCTCTTCTGAGATCCTGAGCCTACAGATCTGTCTCAGCTGCCTCTGTGACAGGACTGAGTCAAAGACCTGTTAATAAGATGCTAATTTTCACATTCCTTCCGCTGCCAAACTCAATAAATGAAACTCAGGGCGTTTTTGGGTCTTTATTAAAGGATGCAGTCACTGGAGCGTTACATAAAAGGCCAAACAGGAATGTTTACAGGAGGAGAAGCCCCTCAGAGTGACTCTTTGATCGGACGGCCCCGCCGATCTTTTTCCATCGCAGGTTTAAGTCTCCGATGGAAGGTAAACAGCGAAAGTTGCCAAATAAGCGGCGCTTTGAGCTGATTGGAGCGTAGACAGAGTAGATTAGACCTGCAGACAGAAAGGGATGAGAGCAGATGTCCTTTCAAAGAGCCCTTCAGTAGCACAGGGGGTCAGGGTTAATTCACCAGCTCCATCTGAGGATCAGTCAGTGTTTGTGCACGAGCTGCAGAAACACGGCACTGAGACTCAGCCACTGAAAACAAAGATGTCGGAGCTAAATTACTGGGATGTGAAAATGTCTGGCTCAGCCACTGAAAACGTTCCCAGCTTCGTTCTCCGCTAAATTACTGGGATGTGAAAATGTCTTGAAGATTTTTAGATTCTCACTGCCTCAAAATTAATGTCATGTTTTAGCATGTTAGACATTTAATCTGCTGAAAACTTTAACTCAACTCAATCATTTGGTTAACGTACGTTCAGTAATTTCTCTCACATGAAAATAACTGCCGAGCCAGCCAGGAGTCCAACCTGGAATTTTTTTTAATTAAATTAAATAAAAAATGTAATTTTTGTCATAAATGAATTCAAAATTAATTAAATGTCTCCTTAACAGCAAACATTCCTTTGAGAATTTTTAATTAAACGGGCGAATCCTGCAGGTGCCGGGCTCTGACTCCACTGTCACTGTCATCACTTACATCAGGTTTAATCATCTGAAAGGTCGACCTTTCATCGACTCCTGGTCACCGGTCGATAACGTGTACACTATAAGCTACATTCCTCTGCTCCTTACCTGAGTAACGTGATCCCTGACTCCATGAATGTCACTGATTAAGTCGTGTGTTTTCAACCCAAAGACCCACAGGGGTGAGAGTAACATGAGATCTGCCCCGCTGATTAGCCCCCACGATAACTCACCCTCACTCCCAGCCAGTTCCCTGGTATTTTGGTGGCTTTGTCAGACAGAACACGCTCTTATTTCACCAGCAGGAAGGTATTTTTAAGGCTGTAGTGCTGTTATTATACACTTTGTCTGATTTAGTATCTGTGATCCAGGCTCTTGGTGTGTGTGTGTGTGTGTGTGAGAGTGTGTGTAAGTCCGCAGCGTTCGGCTGAGGCTGCAGACAGAGAGCCAGTAACGTGCACGGTCCTGCTGTCAGTCAAGCTGTCGGCCAACTGATGAAGAATCTTAATTATAATAATTAAGGGATGATCTTACAGCCACAGAAGAACGTCTGTCGGCTGTAAACAAACTCCTGCCAGTCTCAGCCACCAAGTAGATGTTTAGAAATCTGCTGTTCTAGAACTATTTATTCTGGAGCTTCTTCTTCTTCTTCTTCTTCTTCGTCTTCATCTTCATCTTCGTCTGATCAGTCCGTCCTCCGCTGGGTCGGGGGTTTGACACAAAGCAGAAAACGTGAGCGTTTTTCTCTACTTTTTCTCCTAAATCTTCACACTAGCCCCGTGCTGTTACTGCTGTTACTGCTGCTGCTGCTGTTACTGCTGTTACTGCTGCTGCTGCTGCTTCCTGCTGTGTTTTT